CCAGGAAGAGGTTGAGGGGGCACAGCCCCACCCCCGCCCAGGGGGGGCTCAGGGGGGCCCGGGGGGGGTCTGGGGGGGCCCCCCCAAAATTTTGGGGGGTCGTCAGGGCCCCGAAGACCCCCCGGAAGTGGCTCTGGAGGCCCCGAAGCTGCTCCAGTGCTCCCAGTTCAGCCGGGAGGGCTCCCAGTAAGGACACGACCACCGCGGCCTCTGGGGGGAAAAGGGGGGCGGGACCCCCAAAAATGGGGTCAGGATCCCCAAATATGGGTCAGGACCCTCAAAAATGGGGTCAGGACCCCCCGAAATGGGGGTGGGACCCCTTGAAATGGGGGCAGGACCCCCTGAAATAGGGGTAGGATCCCCAGAAATTGGGGTGGGACCCCCAAAAATGGGGTCAGGACCCCCAAATATGGGGGTGGGACCTCTAAAAATAGGGTCAGGACCCTCAAAAATGGAGTCAGGACCCCCAAAAATGGGTCAGGACCCTCAAAAAATGGGGGCGGGGCACCCAAAAATGGGGTCAGGACCCCTGGAAAATGGGGTCAGGACACCCAAAAATGGGGGTAGGACACCCCAAAATGGGGTCAGGACCCCTTGAAATGGGGGTGGGACTCCCAGAAAAAGGGGCAGGACCCCCAAAAAATGGAATCAGGACCCCCAAAAATGGGGGCAGGACCCTCAAAACCCCCCCAAAAACAGGGTCAGGACCCCCCCCCAAAATGGAATCAGGACCCCCCAAAATGGCATCAGGACCCCCCCAAACCAGAGACAGGACCCCCCCCAAACCAGTCCCAAATCCCCCCAAACGGCCCCAAACCCCCCCAAATCGGGGCCAGGACCCCCCCCCAACCCTCCCCAAATTTTGGGGCTCACCTGGGGGTCCCAGGGGGGGTCCTTCCCCCCCCCCTCCCAGCCGGGCCAGGAACTCGTAAACCCTCCGGAAATCCACCCCCAAACCCCCCGGATTTGGGGGGGTCTCGGACATTTGGGGGGGCCCCGAATTCGGGGGGGGGCCCGGGGGGGTCCCCAAATTCCCGGGGGGTTCCGGGGGGGTCCCGAAATTCGGGGGGAGGGGCGGGGAGTGCTGCAGGGTGAGGGGCTCCGTGGCCGCCACCGTCAGAACCTGGGGGGGCAAAAACGGGGGGTCAGGGGGGGTTTGGGGGGTCAGGGGGGGTTTGGGGGTGACCCCCACCCCAAATAGGGGGGGCAGGGAGGGGGAGACCCCCCGAAATGGGGTCAGGACCCCCCAGAACGGCCCCAAAATGGGGTCAGGACCCCCCAAAATGACCCCAAAACCACCCAAAATGGCTCCAAGATCCCCCCAAAGTGGGGACAGGACCCCCCAAAATGACCCCAAAACGGCTCCAAGATCCCCCAAAATGGGGTCAAGACCCCCCAGAATGGCCCCAGGACCCCCCAAAATGGGGTCAGGACCCCTCAAAGTGACCCCAGGACCCCCCAGAATGGCCCCAGGACCCCCAAAATAAGGACAGGACCCCCTAGAATGGGCTCCCAAACCACCCAAAATGGCACCAGGACCCTCCAAAACGGGGTCAGGACCCCCCAGAATGGCCCCAAAACCACCCAAGAGGGGGTCAGGACCCCCCAGAATAGGCTTGGGACCCCCAAAATGACCCCAAGATCCCCCAGAATGGCCCCAGGACCCCCCAAAATGGGGTCAGGACCCCTC